GACAGTGCTCCCAAATGTTGTCCACCCTTATTCTACTCTAATAACTGCTAGATTCACAGGCCCATAATTCCACTCTGTCTAGATCTGGTGAACAAAGTAATCAAACAGCATCTGGAAAGGTGCCCAATTGGGGAAGGTTGTCCTAAAGCCTTGGTGTCACAACTGGACTGGTCCTGCTTCTTCCTGCAACAGTATTCCAGCTTGCTTTAATCATACCCCATATTTCTCTATGGGATTTTGAGGCACCAATTCTACAATTATTTTGTACATTTGGATGAATAAACCAAACGAGCCAAAACTCTGGATCCGTTTCCTTTTTCTTAGGGAGGATTTTTCTGCACATGTATTCTAGGAATGGGTTTAATTTGAGGATAGGAAATTAGTAAGGCTGCAGTTCTAAACATTCTTGGAGCCTGATCTCACTGAATTTAGTGGTACTTTTTGAGTTGATATGTTGGATTCAACTGTAAATGGATCAGGCTGCATTAGGGCTGCATCTCAATTCTTTCTTAGAAGTTAACTCCTGCAGAAATCAGTGGAGGTAACTGCTGAGAAAGCAGGCTAAGAGCTGGCTGAAGAATCCTCCTGTATTTCTTGATACTTGAGCTATGGAGACTTGCTATTCTCTCCTTTATCTAGCAGTTATAAACTTGATTTCCTTTCTACAACAGCTCCTGAACCTCTTGTTATGTCTGCAATCTCACATATCTGCATATAATTTTGAAAATATAATCCTTTGGGTCCTCTGCCCTCTTTGCCATGTTTCAGGAAATTGAAAAGACAATCAATGGTAAAATGTCTCTACTGAATAAGTTTTAAAAGACGTACTCCCCCAGTTCCATGTAGGAGTAGGCTGACACGTAATAGTCCAGGAATGTTGAATGTAACTCAGCCCAACTGATTGTTTCAGACTCTTCCTTTTTGCTGAATCGCATAAGCTTTAGGGACTTAAAACACATGTGCATTTCCGAGGAAGATTAAAAAAAAAAAAAATTTGGAACTTCAGATGTTTCTGAGTTTTTTTGTTGTTTTGTTTTTAAGGGAAAGAGCTGCACACACAAAAGAGCAACTAATTTCAGCCAGTCTTATGACAGAGGAGGCTAGTCCAGCATTAACTCCTTTTCTGGAAAAAGGAAGTTAAGTGATAGGAATTTAGCAAGCTCAGCTGTTCCATTATCAGAGTGGAAATCTAGGAGCTGAGAAGACACCTTATTTCTCTCTGTCTTTATTCAATTATGCCCCCAGAGGTGCTTTGCTTTCAAATACCTGGATTCAAAATCAAGACAAGGAAATAATAGCTATTTAAAGGCAGTATTAATAAAATAAAAATAATAAAAATCATTTTTTTGTATTAGTTCTTTTGACACACAAGTTTGGATTTCTAAAATCATAAGAGTCACCAAAATGAAGGGTCAGGACAAGCAGGACATCTGAACCCATACTATAGATTAAACTGGGGTCGAGATGAAGCATCTTCAGACAACCGGATCTAGAGACAGGAGGCAGGGATGGCCACCAAATGGCCATCTAGTCCAGCCATGGTGTCTCATTTGCTTGTGCAGGGAAGAAATAAGAATATCAAGGATGTGAACTTCAGCCTTCCCTCACCCCAATTGGATCGTTGCTTTTAAAAGAAACAATAAAACATATTTAAGGAATGGCAAACATGCTGAGATGTCTGCCAACATGAACAAGACCTGCAAGCCTTGATTGGACACTATATGCCATTTTGTCTGGCATGACACAAATGTATAAGAAATAAAGTAAAAAAAAACACGCTTGTTGCTAGTAAATATTTAAGGATTGCACCCTGCACACATTAAGTAAGCCTCAGTGCAGAGTGGGACTTAAATCTCAGAAAACTTTTCAGAAGGCTCAGACTACATACTAGACATGATTAAACTGTGCCTTCTCTAAATTTAGTAGTTTCTTCACATCATGCAAACTGTAAGACATGAGTTAAAACTGTAGTTTGTTTCACTTGGAGAAAATACCTAAGCAATCATTTGGACTGCAAGGAGACTGGTTTATTTTTCTGCTTTGTTTATACCCCACTTTTCATTCAGGAGTTCAAGCAATTGTACAAAGCTTTCTATTCCCTCCTGTTTGGGAGCTGAGAGAGAATAACTGGCTCAGGAGAGCAAAATCATCATCATAAATACGTTAAAACACACACACACATCACACATGTAACTCTGCAATTTCAGGAGTTAAACTGCATCTAATGTATTTATTTTATTAATTTTTATTTTTTTATTTTACTAATTTTCAAAACAGTTACAAAGTTTGCAAATTTAAAAAATACAGCAAGACCAACCTAAAATAACAAAAACAAGAAAAACAATGTAAACCAGCTCAAATACTTTAAAATTGGATTGGTGGTCCTAATGGAAGGTTCTTCTTTGTCAAGCAGCCAAATTATAGCCATGCCATGGAGGGTTTTTTTTCAGCTGTGGAAAGGCACCTGTTATTCTTCTAAACAACAGATGGGAGAGACCAGGTTTAGTCCATGATGCTCCTTGCAGTCCTAAACTAGTCAGCCTTGCAATTTGCAGAGATGTTTTGAGCAGAAAATGAAGACAAGTATCATGTAGCCCACCTGAATTTTTCAGAGGGATGATGGGATTACAGGTAGTTCTCACTTAGCAACCACAATCGGGACCAGCAGCTCTGTCATTAAGCTATGCAGTCACTAAGCGAGACATCATGTTACTGCAATGGGCTTCTCCATTGACTTTGCTTGTCGTAAGCTGGTTCTGAAGCATACAAATAGTGATTGTGTGACTGTGGGGACACTGTGATGGTCGTAAACGTGAGGACTGGTCATAAAGATACGTTTTCAGTGCCACTGTAACTCTGAATGGTCGCTAAATGAGGCCGTCAGTCAGCAATGTCTACCTGTATAGTGCAGAGTTAGTTTTATGGATTCTTAATTGCATTCTGTGGTTTCTTGTTTCCACTCAAAGATGGTCCTGAGATACAGGCATTTTTCACTCCTGTCCCCAATCTACCAAGCTTTTCTTTCATTGCTGTCTTGAGTAGACAGCAGCATTTTACCAACAGCCCCTACCTATCTCTAGAATTCTTAGGAGCAGAGATATTATGGAAGGGTATATGTATAGGTATGCAGATGAAACAGTGGCTGCAATAGTGTGACAACAGAACCAGCAAAAGAAGTATCATTCATTTCAGATGTTTGTTATATGTGTGCTCATTACCTACCTTCAACCTACCTTTTCCTTTAACAAATACGTTACATAAGTTTTTGACATGAAAAGCTAATTCCTAAGGCCCTTACTAAATTTACAGTTTACATCAGCACCAGAATGTCTTGGCAAATCCAACATTTCACCCTTATCACAGATTTATTGTACACCATGCCTAGGTTTTAAAGTCTTCTGAAAAGAAAAATAACAATTTTTCCTGCTTCGTCCATCACTAAGGCAAAGTGTGTAAACTTTATTGGTCCTCCCCCTTTGGGGGAAGGGAATTGTCTTCCGGTGTAGCCGTGAGCAGCCATTGGTAGATTTTCCTAGGAGGGGCCTGTATTTGGGGGGGGGCAGGAGAGCTATTCAACCGATTAGTAGCCTCAAAATATTCTCCCCCATCACAGTTGTTAGCCCACCCCCCCCCCCCCCCCCCCCCCC